CTTAGTTGTTCGATTGATTAAATCGTAGATAACTGCCGTAAACTCAGCTTGGTACATATCGATGCCTATGCCTATAAATTTCTGTGCCTGTTTAATAGATTTACGACGTTCAAAACTACGAATAGCTATCACTTTTTCATCAGAGGGTCTAATTCCTGCCCCAGAAATATTATGTCCTAANGTTGGTCAGAAATTCCACAAGGAACACATTGCGGTCCCTTATTATTCCTTGTATTTATCAATGATTTGCCGCTTTATTTCAACTTTGCCAAATGCCTAATGTTTGGAGACGACGTAAAACTATTTTTAACAGTCCGTGATACTTCTGACTGTATCAATTTACAATCAGACCTTGATTCTTTTGCTGGATGGTGTACTGTCAATAATCTGTTTTTAANGCAAAAAGAAGCTCTGCGCTAAAATACTATCATATTACTATTACTACAACATTTCTATCTGTCGCTTTTTTCTTAATTTCACAATATTTTTAGTAAATTTTTTTTTTAGTTAATTTTTTTTCAAATCGCCTGATAACCAACTTGGGATATTTTCTTTTATTTAAAAATCCCACGGTTTTCGTTAGTTGGGTTATATTCCACTTCAAACTGCTCAGTTTGCCTCGGAAAATGCCGTTTTACCCCATTTTCAAACGGTTCCCTAGGGGTCTGTGGGAGGTCGCAAAGGGGGGTGGGGCTTTTCGTAAAGTGGCGACTGTCCCCTTTCGAATGAAGGGGGTTTAGGGGCCACGCCCCCTCCCCCTCCGCCCCCCACTCCAAAAACGATGGGCCAATAACTAAACATTTCCCTTATTTTTACCTTCTTACCTTCCTTTTATTAACTCGGGATGTAACTATGTAATATTGATGCGCCTAAAAGATGCAGCGATTTCTATTCTCAAGTTACATACCTGATGACAGTGCGAATGGCAATTGTAATAGGGAGGTTTTAGTTTTTTAAACTATAATTTTTTTTATTTGAACGTAGAAAGGAATTCTACACAAAAAAGCTGTGAGTGGCGTAATAGGGCTTTCGCACGAGGCGATTCTTCACTCAACTTTTGCGCAGGGTTGCACGAAAAAAAATTGAATGGCTAAAAATATCAAAAAATAAAAAAATCAAAATATTCGTCATAAAAAGGCGTTTGCATTGTTCAACTTTGCATTCCACTTTTGGTTGAACGGCCTTTCAACTAATCGCTTTTAACAAAGTTGGTCGCCAGCCAACATTTAGCCATTCAACTTTTTTTTCGTGCAACCCTGCGTGAGTTGAAAGCAAAAGTTGAACGCAAAATCGCCCCGTGCGAACACCTTTTTATGGTTAAAAAGCGATTTTGCGTTTTTATGTTTTGATATTTTTAGCCATTCAATTTTTTTTTCGTGCAACCCTGCGTGAGTGGAACGCAAAAGTTGCCTAAAAAATCGCCTAGTGCGAAAGCCTCATAAGTTACATATTCTGCCAATATTTTTAGATGATCACTTAGGTATAAAAACATTTTTTATAAATTATTAATTTGGCGTAGTTGAAAAACAGCTCCGATTCTCAAATTAAAAAAAAAAAAACATTTGGATCGGTAGAGATCATTGCGGTGATTATAACGATATATATTTTTTATTTGATAGGTAATTTAATTCCCTTTAATTCGATATACATACTTTATATATGCCTTGTCTAGTTTTCATTAAGGGCCTGTGTCAATTGATAGAAAAGTACAACGTAGTGTTACTGGCGAATTTTCATACAATTTTA